ACATTCGTAAGAACCTTGTCTCGGGGTCTCTCCTAAGCAAGCATGGCTTCCGCATGGTGTTTGAATTAGACAAGGTCGTGTTGACCAAGGGCGGGGTCTATGTGGGGAAGGGATATATGTTAGGTGGTATGTTTAAATTGAATGTAATGACACTTATCCCTAAGATTAATGAGAAAGCTTCTTCTTCTGCTTATATGCTTGAGTCCCCTAATTTATGGCATGGTAGATTAGGTCATGTAAATTTTGACTCTTTACGTAGATTAATCAAGTTAGATCACATACCATCTTTCAAGATTAATCCACAACACAAGTGTGAAACTTGTGTAGAAGCAAAATTGACAAGGTCTTCTTTTCATTCTATTAAAAGAAGTACCCAGCCTTTGGGTTTAGTGCATAGTGATGTGTGTGACTTGAAAGTTGTATAATCACGTGGTAGCAACAAGTACTTCATCACTTTCGTTGATGATTGCACTAAATACTGTCATGTGTATTTGCTTAAAAGCAAAGACGAGGCTATTGATAAATTTATTCTTTTTAAGAATGAAGTTGAGAATCAATTAAGCCGGAAAATCAAGGCATTGAGAAGTGATCGTGGTGGTGAGTATGAATCCCCGTTTGTCGAGACTTGTGCTCAATTTGGGATTATTCACCAAACCACAGCGCCTTATTCGCCTCAGTCAAATGGTGTTGCTGAGCGGAAGAACAGGACGCTGAAAGAGATGATGAATGCAATGTTGATAAGTTTTGGGTTGCCACAGAACTTATGGGGGAAAGCAATTCTCTCTGTGAATTATATTCTTAATAGAATACCACGGAAGAAAGTGGACAAGACTCCATATGAGTTGTGGAAAGGTCATAAGCCTTCATATAAATACCTACGAATGTGGGGGTGTCTTGCAAAAGCGGCGGTACCTACACCCAAGCGGGTTAGGATAGGTCCGAAAACCGTGGACTGTATTTTCATTGGTTATGCACAAAATAGTAGTGCATATAGATTTCTTGTGCACAAGTCTAATATTTCAGATATACACAAGAATACTATCATGGAATCTAGAAGTGCATATTTCTTTGAAGATGTATTTCTGTGTCGTCCCCAAGACAGGGTTCCGAGTTCCATGAAAGAAATAGATGATCACGAAGACGATCACATAGATGATCACATGGATGATCAAACAGCTGATCAAATAACTGATCAAGTAGATGATCAAGCTGATGAAGTACATGAACCAAGAAGGAGTAAAAGGGCTAGAACCACAAAGTCTTTTGGTCTAGACTTCTTGACTTATATGTTAGAGGGAGAACCTCGAACATTCCATGAAGCTGTGACTTCACCTGAAAGTCCTTTATGGAAAGAAGCAATTAAGAGTGAGATTGACTCCATCTTACAGAACCATACTTGGGAGTTGGTTGATCTACCCCCAGGCAGTAAGGCCTTGGGGAGTAAGTGGATCTTTCGAAGAAAGATGAAAGCGGATGGGTCAATTGACAAATATAAAGCTCGGCTAGTTATCAAAGGATACAGACAGCGAGAAGACCTGGATTACTTTGATACGTATTCACCAGTGACAAGGATTACATCCATTCGCATGGTAATTGCAATAGCAGCTTTACGTGGTTTATAAATACATCAGATGGATGTAAAGATAGATTTTTTAAATGGAGATTTAGATGAAGAAATCTACATGGAGCAACCAGAGGGGTTTTCAGCTCCAGGAAAAAGTAAGAAAGTCTGTAAGCTTGTCAAGTCATTGTATGGTTTGAAGCAAGCTCCCAAACAATGGCATGAGAAGTTTGACAATGCTATGTTGTCAAATGGGTTTCGAATCAATGAGTGTGATAGGTGCGTATATGTTAAAGACACTGACAAAGGTTATGTCATTTTGTGTCTATACGCTGATGACATACTCATTGTTGGTAGCAATGATGAAATGATTAAAGCTACCAAAAGATTGTTAAACTCTAAATTTGACATGGAGGATATGGGCCTTGCAGATGTCATTCTGGGTGTTAAGATCACCAGAACATCTGGTGGTATTGTACTTTCTCAAGCTTATTATGTTAATAAGATACTTGAGAAATTTGGAAAGTCAGATACAAGTATATTTAGGACACCGGTAGACTTAAGTCTATATTTGACCAAGAATAATGGTGAGAGTGTCTCTCAACTAGAATATTCTCGGGTCATTGGGAGTTTGATGTATCTGATGAGTTGTACAAGGCTGGATATCGCCTATGCTGTTAGTAGGCTGAGTAGATACACGAGTAATCCTAATGCTACTCATTGGAAGGGCATTTTGTGGGTGTTGGGGTATATCCGTTACACCCTGGATTATGGGCTGCATTATACCAGATACCCAGCTATACTAGAAGGGTATAGTGACGCAAATTGGATATCTGATATAAAAGATTCCAAATCCACTAGTGGTTATGTGTTTACCCTCGGAGGGCAGCCGTGTCTTGGAAATCTGCCAAGCAAACGTGTATCTCGAGATCAACGATGGAATCTGAGTTTATTGCTTTAGATAAAACAACTGAAGAAGCTGAATGGCTTCGCCAGCTTGTTGAGGATATTCCACGTTGGCCGAAACTTGTGCCAGCTATCAGTATTCATTGCGATAGCCAATCAGCGATTGGTCGGGCACAGAGTAATATGTATAATGGAAAGTCTAGACATATCCGTCGTAGACATAATTCCATACGACAATTACTCTCAAATGGAGTTGTCTCTCTAGACTATGTCAAGTCTAAGGACAACATTGCGGATCCGCTAACCAAAGGGTTAACTCGAGAGTTAATAGAAAAGTCGTTAAGAGGAATGGGGTTAAGGCCTTTAGTAAAAGTTACTGGAACGGAAAACCCAACCTAGTTGACTAGAGATCCCAAGATCTAGGTTCAAAGGGACAACCTAACTTCGTGTAACAGGTGAGTCACTGAAGAGGTAAATCCTCTTGCCCATTCCTTTATACAGTGATGCCCTATGGGGGTGGAAGGTTAAGCTAATGCTTTTAATGACCTTAGTGATGTGGTATAATGAAATATCGTATCTAGGTCACCTATGTGAGTGCGAAGTGGGGCCGCTTCTTTAAGAATTGCCAAGGCTGAATTCTTTAAAAACACTCACAGAACCAGGCTAGTGTTCCAGGGCCATACTAGACACACCAGTGAGAACAAGAACAATGGTTGGACTAACTCTTGTATGAGATCTATTGTCTCAGTTTACATAAATGGCAGAACAGTTCAAGACATCACGTTCACCAGTCAGCCAGTAAATCCGATAGGCTTTCACTACGAAAGGTTCAAGGCCAACATCTACCTTTTCTGATGCAGGGTTAGTCTATGTGCTCTCTCTCTTTCCGAGTCTTTGTTGATAAACGTTGAGCGTTTGCTGTATTCGGTCAATTTTTATTCATGTAAGGGAATGTTGGAGAAAAATAGTTGAATAAGAAATTGCCACATAAATATGTATATAACTCACACATTTAAGGCTCATCAGTTTTACAAAATTGATTTGGCAGCTTTGTTAGCATTAGTTGCCAGCCTTGATGGCTAGAGGCTCCTCCCCTCTCCCCCATGGTGTATAAAAGGAGGCCCTATTCCTTGAAAAGAGATATAGAATTTTTTCTTGACATCCATACACTGTCAGTCTACTTCTCCTATAATTTTCTTCCTCAAATAGAGTGCTACCGTTATCCGTTTGCTAAGCTAATCAGAAGGTGCTTCTGTTGTAGCTGGTAAAAACCGTCGTATCCTGGGAAGTAGACGCCGGCGTACCTCTAGCACCCAACGGTGAGGCGGCGAATCTATTTTAAGGAGACTATGGTATCATACAGGTTTCAATTTGCTTCTTTTAATCATTTTATATTTTATCTGTATTTTATTCAGCATGTTATTTTTCTTGAAATTAAAACTTTATTTTATTTATCTTATAATTTTACGATATGTAATGTAAAATTATATAATGTGAGTAGTTTTTTCAATAGTATTTGAATCCATTCGTGCAGGATGTTAAAAGAGAATCCATGTGCCCATGTGCACTTTGATATGTGTTGATATGTGATCTATTATTTCAGCAATTTCAACCCAATTATATTCCCATTGACCAACTCAGAACAAACAATAAATTTAGGATAAATTACGAGTACGCTCCAGATATTTGATTAAAATATAATTTATTATTTGTGATTTTAGAAATTATATTTCATGTCATGTGGTTTTTAATTTCATAACAAATCGCTTCTTTTATTAATAAATCATGAAGTTAATTAATAATTTTTAATGAAGTTAAAAATATATTTCAATTATTAATAATTTAGGTAATTTTATTATTATATATGAGAGTAATTATGAATTTCATTTTTTAAGTTAATTCTGTTAAATAAAAAATTATAATAAGGGAATATTTATAATTTTTCAAACCATATATGACAATTTGTACTTTAAGCAAAGCTTAAGAGTGTATTTGTAATTTACCCATAAATCTATATATACCTACCAATAAATAAATGTATTTATATTTATATGTTCGTGTGTCTCAATGAATGAGCCTTGACATCACTTTCTATATAGAATGTTTTAAGTGCAGAAAATTGGATGACAATCTATAAATATCTGAACCACCATATTCCATTGAAATTACTTTGTTTAAATGACTGGATTGTGATACAGAAGCATATGAAAAAAATAAGCAATAGCTCAATACCAACCGGCAAAATAATATCATTTACAGGCAAAACACTTGGGACTGTAGGGCTAATAAGGTTCAATGAGGATCTTATCCAAATCTTTTAGGTTAAATATTTTGATGGATTCTACTTATATTGTTTAAGCATTCTTGATTTTCGGATTGATCAATGATGTTTGGTCGCCATCGTCATTACCACAAAGATTCTAGCCCTTTTTTTAGATATTGCTAAGCCTTCGTATGTCATAAGCTAAAATAGAGTTTTTTGGCTAAAATATATACAAAAAAACAAAATAAATTTTTTAGCCTAAGACAAATGTCACATTCAAACTATAATCATTTCATTTTTTCTCTCACAAAAGTAAAAAAAATCAAAAAAAACTTATCTCAAATAAGACTTTTTAACACCAAGCTAAAATAGCTAAAAAATCAAAAAGCTAACTCACATTCCAAATGAATCCTAAGGAAGGTTCTTGGCTCCTTCTCCACGATCGAAACAGCACTAAAATTTCTATGCAGAGAATTTAACACAGAACTACACTTTCTAAGCAGACAAAAAAGGCATGTGGAAGTTGCACAAATTCAAATTCCCTACAAGGATCAACTTATTGACCATGGATCATAAATGCAATCCTCAATCATAACTCAATCGAATTGTTCTAATGTGATCCTGTAGTCCTTCATTAGTTTCTTCACACCATCCCATCTCCAGTTTCACAAACGGGTGCAACAAGCACTGATCCCAACCAGAAACTCAAGCTTCGCAGGCATTCTAGAGTTGATACCTTATATAATATGTGTACTGTGAAGGTAGCTCCAAGCGGTCCAACATTTTTTGAGACTTCAGGCTAGACATCAAAATGAGGCCTCTCATCTTACTGAACCTTTGAAAAATTGGGGCCTTCGGCAATAAGAACTTTTTGAAATTTTTTGGGTGGCCCTTAGGTGATAGGCTAAATAGCCTAATGGTTAAGCCACCTTTATCGTCAAGCCAGATCCCTTTAGCCTGCTAGATGTGATCATGGATTCCCTCACCACGTGTATGCAATGACATTGTCACCACAGGACTAAATTTCCTCTGCATCCAAAAATTCCCACGAAAGGTCGCATAAATACTCTGCTGACTTTAGATGGTCTGTTAATTGATCAAGGATGACATAGATACAACTTGAAATTTCATTTCTCTTGTCATCAGCCATGAATTCATGAACACGCCCATCTATTTCAACATAGCTTATTGCACTACCCTTTTCAATCCCGTGGTCCTTCATTAGTTTCCTTAATTTTTGCACATCTTCCCATCTTTGAGCTTCACAGAATATGTTTGAAAGAAGAACATAAAGTCCTCCACTATACAGCTCCATCTCCAATAGCTGTTTTAGAATTTGCTTCCCAATCTCGACATTGCCACGCATCCTACAAGCACCTAGCAGGGCACCCCAAACTACAACGTCAGGCTTCATTGGCATGCCTACTATCAGCCCAATTGCTTCTTCCAAGAGCCCTCCTCGCCCAAGAAGATCAACCATGCAGGCATAGTGCTCAATTTCACGTGGTACTCTGTAAATAAGTGTCATTCTGTCAAAATAAAATCGCCCAATGTCTACAAGACCGCTGTGACTACACGCAGAAAGCAACCCCGTGAAGGTGATCCCATCAGGCCTTATCCCATCAGCTTGCATCTTTTCAAAGAGCTCAATAGAATTAAATCCACACCCATGTAATGCAAGGGCCCCAATCATAACATTCCATGACACCACATTCTTCTCTGGCATCCCAAGAAAAATATCTAAAGCAGTTTCTATGGCACCACATTTTGCGTACATGTCTATGAGGATGTTAATTAAAGAAACACTGGGCGTTATATGGTTGTTGTAGATGTAATCGTGGGCTTTCTTTCCCATAACCAAATCACCAAGTTGACAACAGGCTGAAAGAATGATAGTTAGTGTAGTCTCATCAGGAACCACTTTCGAATAATGCATTTCGCAAAAGAGATCCAAAGCTTCCCTGCAGCGACCTTCTTGAACATAAGATGAAATCATGGAATTCCAAGAAACAACATTTTTCACTGGAATTTGATCAAAAACTTCCCGAGCACAATCAATGAGCCCATGTTTAGCATATGCACTGACCACAGAAGTCCATGAAACCACGTTTTTATCAGGCATTTGGTTAAAAAATGCTTGAGCCGTATGCAAATCCCCACACTTAGCATACATATCAACAAGAGCATTCTGCACATATATATCAGTTTCGGCCCCAGTAATCTCTATATAAAAATGTACATATCTTCCCAAATGTAAATCAAAAGTCTGCGAACCGACAGAAAGGAGGCTAACAAAGGTAAACTCATCAGGCTCCATCTCAAGTTCTAACATTTCACGAAAGAGTAAAAACGCTTCCTTGGAACAACCCATCTTCGAATACCCCCCAATCATCGAGTTCCACGAAACCAAAGTCCTCTCACTAATTTCATCAAACACTTGACGTGCACAGCAGATCAACCCACAAACAACATACACATGAATAAGCGCATTTTGTACACAAACTTGGAACCCAATTCCCAATTTAATAGCTTGACCATGAACAACAACACAATCCAAATACGCCAAATTGCACGCACATGCCTTGAGAACAAAAGGGATAGTGAATTCATTCGGAGAAATACCAGAACCAATCATTCTGTGGTAAAGAAAAACAGCCTTCGATGGGTCATCACTGTTAGAATAACCCCTTATCAGACTATTATACATGAATCGATTGTGTTCGATTGTGTGATTGAATATGAACTGGGCATATTCGAGATTGCCGGCATCGGAGACAGCACAGAAGGAAATTAGCTTGCCGAGAGTGAGGGTTTGGTTAGTGAGTCCATGGAGGATGATTTGGGCGTGGAGTTGATTGAGTTCTCTCATGGTAGAGCATTTTTCTAAGAGGAGATGGATGGTCTGGTGTGAAGGGGACTTGAATTTGGAAGCCAAGGCAGTGTCTGTGGATAGAGAATGGGATACAAAGAGGGTGTTTTTAAGGCGGGAACCAACTGTCAAACGTTTGAGATAACCGAACATGGTGTTGAGTCATTTGGTTTCAAGTTTGGTAACTGTTTTTTGAGTTAATAACATAATACAATTTTGTATTTCGATAAATACTTTTTTTTTTTAATTTTTAATTTTTTTTTCATCATCAAATATGCGAATCTAATTGTTGGAATGCATTTTAAATATTTTATTATAGTTTTAAATATTTTTAATTGATTTTAAATTTAATTAAAATGTTAAAATTAAGACTCAATTATGGCTGAATTAAGCTCAAATAATCAAATTTATTTCTTTTCGCACTCTATAGGTTATGTTGGGATTGTAAATTTGCTAATGAAAAAAAGTAAGAGAAATAAAATCACTTATACATAATTATAATTTTTGGATAATAAAGCAAAAAATAGACATTTAATTTTTAATTACTATTATTTATTGAGCCTCCGTTTGGGAAGTGAGTTGGCTTTTTGACTTTTTAGCTTTTTTGACTATATGAGCCTGGGCTCAAAAGCTTAGTTTGGGAAGGGCTTTTGACTTTTTGGCTTTTTTATTTTTTTGTAAGAGAAGAGTGTAATGATTATGAGGTTGGATGGGATGTTTTGTCTATTGTGGCTCATGAGCCTATTCTGTCTTTTATGACTTATTGAACCAAAAAAGCCCAATGAGCCCTTGCCAAACCAACCCTCATTTTCTTAAGCCAAACAAGGAGAAAGGTGGGGAAAGAAAAAAAAAAAACTTCAATTTACTCAATTTTGTTTTTAGGGGTATTTTTTTTAAGGTCCCTGATATTATGATTTCATAGTATAAAGGACATCAAATATTTTCATGATGTCTAAGGTCCTTAACATCAATCCAGAGAAAATTGGTCCAGAGAAATTTCAGTCCCAGAGAAATTCTCTCCAGAGAAAATTGAACTTCTCTCCAGAGAAATTCTCTGGATTCAAACCAGAGAAATTCTCTCACTGCACAAATTTCTCTGGCTCTTTTCTAATTTTTACATGCCATTTACACTTCAGTATAACAATTCAAGAACATGTATAACCACTTAGAATAGTAAATTAGTATAACAATTCAAGAACATGTATTTCTTTTCTAATCTACAGGCAGCCTCTGAATCTCCAGAGAAAATTGGTCCAGAGAAAATTCGTCCAGATAAATTTTAGTCCCATAGAAATTCTCTCCAGAGAAAATTGAACTTCTCTCCAGAGAAAATTGAACTTCTCTCTAGAGAAATTCTCTGGATTCAAACCAGAGAAATTCTCTCACTGCACAAATTTCTCTGGCTCTTTTCTAATTTTTACATGCCATTTACACTTCACCCCTTATCAGACTATTATACATGAATCGATTGTGTTCGATTGTGTGATTGAATATGAACTGGGCATATTCGAGATTGCCGGCATCGGAGACAGCACAGAAGGAAATTAGCTTGCCGAGAGTGAGGGTTTGGTTAGTGAGTCCATGGAGGATGATTTGGGCGTGGAGTTGATTGAGTTCTCTCATGGTAGAGCATTTTTCTAAGAGGAGATGGATGGTCTGGTGTGAAGGGGACTTGAATTTGGAAGCCAAGGCAGTGTCTGTGGATAGAGAATGGGATACAAAGAGGGTGTTTTTAAGGCGGGAACCAACTGTCAAACGTTTGAGATAACCGAACATGGTGTTGAGTCATTTGGTTTCAAGTTTGGTAACTGTTTTTTGAGTTAATAACATAATACAATTTTGTATTTCGATAAATACTTTTTTTTTTTAATTTTTAATTTTTTTTTCATCATCAAATATGCGAATCTAATTGTTGGAATGCATTTTAAATATTTTATTATAGTTTTAAATATTTTTAATTGATTTTAAATTTAATTAAAATGTTAAAATTAAGACTCAATTATGGCTGAATTAAGCTCAAATAATCAAATTTATTTCTTTTCGCACTCTATAGGTTATGTTGGGATTGTAAATTTGCTAATGAAAAAAATGCAAGAGAAATAAAATCACTTATACATAATTATAATTTTTGGATAATAAAGCAAAAAATAGACATTTAATTTTTAATTACTGTTATTTATTCAATTTCTTCTCATTTTCTTAAGCCAAACAAGAAGAAAGGGGGGGAAAGAAAAAAAAAAAAAACTTCATTTTACTCAATTTTGTTTTTATTTACCTTTTTTCTCTTTTTCTTTTTTTAGGCTTACGCTTTTCTCTAGTGGATTGGACTGTCCAGTTCACTAAAAAGAAGCCTAATTCACTTTTTATTCAAGTATGTTTATAAGGTTAGTCAATTTTAAAACCCCCCAAAAAATTTTTGACCAATAAAACAATAACCATCCAACACTGGTTCCTAATTTGATATCTCTTGAGGCGCTTTAATTTACCCATCAAATTTTATTATTGAAAATTTACTGTCAATGCTGACCACTATCAATGTAAAATTTCAAAATCCAAGCAACCACAACTATTTTTTTTTCTCAATATTTCCAATTTGATTTCATTTCTATAGATGGCTAAAGCCAAGACATATACACTTCACAGAGAAGGGAGAAGCCAGAGATTAAAGAGAGACGACGCTAACGATAGAAACCAAGCCAAGAAAGTCATAGCAGCAGACAGTTGATATCTACTACACAACTCTGCGCTGCAGAAGGAGCTAGAAGTGATGAGGATCTCTGACACGCTAGCTGTTGAGCACGCTGCCGCAAGCGACAGAAACGAGAGAACCTGTTAAGTAGAACAACAATATTTCATTTATTTTGTGAAGAACATGATATATTGAGGGGTCACTAATGAATGGAAAGAAGCACTTACCCAATCTCCAATGACGATGACGGACATTACTCCCAGCTGACGAGATGGAGGTTTAAAAAAGACGGAATATACATCCACCACTGCCAAGGTCAAGCTCCATGGGATCACTAAACCCATAATTGTTACCAAGAAGCTGCAAAAATAACAGATAGATTCATCTTCCTGTGATTTGATAGTGATGCATATGTGCAGTGTGCAAAATGAGTCCAATATGTAAAACTTCTTGTTACCATCTAGCAGAAAAATGAACTTTGATATAGATTGCAATTTGGCACAACAGTTATTACAGTCAGAAAGAAAATGTTTTAGAGAGCTAAGGAATGGAAATACATATTTTCTATCCAGAAGCGTATCCCTGCTTCCAAACAAAAAATTCTTAAAATTGAAAATCACATAATTATATAAGTTTCACCCAAAAGATTGTTTCATCTGTAAGCAAAAATTGATTAGAATAGGAGATAAGTCCAAAGAACTCTGCTCTCCAACTTCAACCCACCCAAATTCTTCTCTTCATACTCCACAATAATGGTTCTACTAGAATCCTTCCCTAACATCATTTCTCCGTCAGCTTTTTCCTCTCACTACCACAATTGCAACCCAAAATAACACCATTATGATATTACAACACTCAGTCCTTAAATATCACAATAAAAGTGGAAGTGAAGCCAATCTTAAAGCTTCTATTAATCTTGTCTTGGTTTCTCATGCTCTTTGTCTTCACATATTTCTTCCTGATTCATAATTATTCTGAAAATACATCTTCAAAGAAGGGATGTATCCTCCAACCGAAAAATATATTTAAAAAAAAAAAAAATACTAGTTGATAAAGATATCATCAAATTCAGCACTCTTAAGTTTCAGGCTGATCATAATATCCATACAAATACCATAATTTAACATTTCCTTAAAGTTCTGCAAGATTGAAATTCTCTCAAGCTTTCAGATTGAAGCACCTGGGTTCAACTAATTGTACCCACATAACCTTCCCATATAAGCACTCTTCTTACACACAAGTTTTTCAAAGAAGTTGCCATCTTAAAGCAGCCATTCAGATACTACGGTACTGCCCCATAGTTTGCATAAATCTAAAACTACTACTAATTTCTCAAACTACTTTCCTGGTCACTAATTCACCTGCTGACATCTTCAAGAGGCCAAATTAATTGACACACTCTAATCAATTCAAGATGTATGATAGATTTCTGGCAATCACAATATATACTTTATACCGTCAACTATCAAGAGTCATCCCAGTTGATGAAGTATTCATAAGTGCATAAATCTAAAACTAATTGTGCTTACTAGTTCCTTTTCTTTTTCATGGCACACAAACACTCTCATGCTCTGTACAAAGCAATTACAACTTTAGTGGGAAGAATCAATTAGTTGCCGAGTACCCATATTTGATGAAAATCAAGGTTCCTTAACTTTTTACCCACAAAATTGAATCAATCTTCATCCACAGGGTATAACTAATGGTCACAATTCACAAAAGCTTCAATGCCCCACAACTTAGCCTTTTCTAATTTCTAAAACATTTTATTTTGCTTCACTTAATTTTCATTTCCTATCACCAACCTGAATTCTTCAAAATGTGCCTCAAAACTATCACACTTGACCTGTCCAAATGATTTGTTTTCTCCACACCCCAATAAGATGTTGGAACAATCTTCTATGTAAATAAAATAAATTAAAACTAATTTAAACAAAATGAATGAATAACGTATCGAATTTATTTATCGAACCGAATTAAAAATAAAAGACCAAGTCGAGTGTGTGACACTCTGTCCTTAAGACAGATTCGCCCCGCTACGGTGCTTACGGTTGAGTGGCGTCTATCTCCCAGGATACAATGATCTTCACAAACTTATAGTAGCACTCTACACAAATTTGTACGGCGAACTAGAATCTTGTGTTCTTATACTCTCTTTAATTTATCTCTAAAACTAGAATGAAGATTAAAATGCAAAGGAGAAAATTCTGGACAGCAATATGAAAATTGTAGACTAATTTTTTTTAGATCACAAAAACACTGCTGGAATGTTGGTATTTATAGGCAGCACAAGTGCTGTCCGAACAGGTATAAAATTCACATGAACAGGTGTGGTTTGAATCCAACAGGTGCTGTTTTGAAAACAAATAGATATGCTGCCAGGTTTTGAATCTGTTCGGAAGTAACAGATCTGTAACTGCTGGGCAGTTAAAATCAAACCTGCTGGGTAGTTTTTCAGTTTGAATCTGAGAGGAATTTCGGACAGAAGGAGACTTAAATGTTGGACAAAAATTGGAATTCAAATTTGAATTAAATTCCCGCAATGTTTTTTGAAAAAATTCAAATGAATTTTGTCCAAAAAATTAATACAAGAACCGACTCGACCCACACTCGTGCCCGGCATGGCTCGGCTCGGCTCTGCTGGACGGACAGACGGCGGCAACGCGCGCGCGCGTGTGGTGGTTTGGGCTAAGGTTCACTTTGTCCATAACTCCTCCCTTCTACAAACTTGGGGTGCCCCTTGGGACCCAACTCAAGTGTTGTAGGCTAGAGCTTATATACTCAACAAAACTCTCTTTAAGATTCAATGTGGGAGAAGCCTCACAAGGAAACCTACATTAAAAAAACTTTAAATGTCCATTCCATGAACCTGAAAACGCCGTCATATTCCCATTCACTCATAAATGGTTTTGACGAACAATGATCTAAATACAACAACATGATCTAAATACAGAGAGTACAGAAATTGAAAATATTTTGCAAATGATAGGTAGCTTTTGGCTTTAAACCTTCCCTTGTGAGACACTATCGGATTTACTAGCTAACCAGTGAACATGATGTCTTGAACTGTTCAGCCATTTGTGTAAACCAAGACAATAGAACTCACACAGTATATCCCAGACACAGTTTAGTTCTCACTATTGTGTTTATTTTGGCCCTGAACAACCTGGTCTTTCATGAGTGCTCTAGAGAATTGTAGCCCTTCACAAATCTCATAGAACCGGCCAAGTTCACACTCACATAGGTGATTCTTATGAAGAGCATCCTGCTATATTCCACTAGCTTTACCTAAATATAAGAATCATTAAAAGTTTTACTTAACCTAAAACGCTGCAGACATCACTATTTCATTATAGAAATTGGTAGGAGTTAGACTCCCCAGTGATCCTTCTGAGTCATACACAACTCGGTTGTCTCTTTGAACCTAGATCTTGGGATCTCCAGTCAACTAGGTTGGGTTGCCGTTGTGGTAACTCTTATTTAATAGGCTTTAGTCCCATTCCCCTCGATGAATTCTCAACTAGCTCTCTTGCTAACCTTTTGGTTAGTGGATCCGTTATGTTGTCTTTAGACTTTACATATTCAATGGAAATAATTCCATTAGAGAGTAGTTGTCTCACGGTGTGATGTCGACGACAAATGTGTCGAGACTTACCGTTATACATATGACTCTGTGCTCTACCTATTGTTGATTGACTATCGCAATGTATACATATAATATGCATCGGTTTTGGCCACATTGGAATATTTTCAAGGAAGTGGCGAAGCCATTCTGCTTCTTCCCCAGCTTTGTCTAAAGTTATGAATTCAGATTCCATAGTAGACCTAGCAATCCAAGTCTGTTTAGAAGACTTCCAAGATACAGCCGCCCCACTAAGAGTAAAGACATACCCATTGGTGGACTTTGAGTCTCTTGTATCCGATATCCAGTTTGCATCACAGTATCCTTCAAGTACTGTTGGATATCTAATATAATTAAGCCCAATGTTACGATTAAATTAGAGATATCTAAGAACCCTTATAATTGCTTTCTAGTGTTCTACTCCTAGGTTACTCGTATATCTACTTAATTTACTTACTGCATAAGCTATATCTGGGCGAGTACAGTTCATCAAGTACAATAAGCTTCCAATAATTTGGGCATACTCTAATTGAGAAATACTTTCCTATACATTCTTAGATAGAAACAAATTAACATCTACAGGTGTTCTAGCAAGATGATCATCATCTTTGCTGAATTTATCAAGTATTTTCTCAATATAATGAGATTGTGACAAAGCATAACCTTTTGACGTTTTGGTAATTTTCATACCAAGAATTATATCAGCAATGCCCATGTCCTTCATGTCAAAATGCTTATTCAGCATTTTCTTGGTAGCTTTAATTATATCATTATTACTACCTATGATGAGCATATCATCTACATAAAGACATACAATGACATAACCTTTGTCTATGTTTTTAATATAGACACATTTTAAAATCCATTTGACATCATTGTCTTGTCAAATTTCTCATGTCATTGCTTTGGCGCTTGTTTTAAACCATATAATGATTTAACCAATTTACACACTTTCTTTTCTTTACCTGGAACAGAAAAACCTTCTGATTGTTCCATGTAAATTTCTTCATTTAACTCACTATTTAAGAAAGTGATTTTTACATCCATTTGATGAATTTCTAAATTGTATAAAGATGCAATGGCAATTAATATTCTAATGGATGCTATTCTAGTGACCGGTGAGTATGTGTCAAAGTAATCAAAACCTTCTTTTTGTCTAAAGCCTTTGACCACAAGTCTTGCCTTTTATTTGTCAATTGATCCATCCGCTTTTAATTTTCTTTTGAAAATCCACTTGTACCCAAGAGGTTTACAACCTGGTGACAAATCCACCAATTAAGAAAAGAAAAGTGTGAAATAGCGTGGATAGAACCAGCACATGGTTTTGGTTTTAGGATTCATTATTTTAAGATACCATGTAAGATATATATAGATATTAAAATAAAAGAAAAGATGGGTGGTCAATAATAAAATAAAAGAAAGGAAAAGAGAGGCCAGCAAAAGAGAGTGGGTGCAAAGTGAGAGAGAGAGAAGTGAATAATAAAATAAAAGAAAACAGAATGTTGGCTCTGCCTTTGTGCACACAAATTACTAAGTGCTTCAACAGTTGGAACTCACAGGTAGCAGAGCGTGCTCTCTACGTATGGAACAACGAACAGTTTGTGAAGATGGCATCACAGGTGATAATAGAAGGTGTTTCCAATGATAGTTGAAGGCATGGAGAGGAACCTAAAATGGCACTGGAGCGAAAAAAACCAGATCTCGCGAGTCCCAAACTCTTGCCACTCCGATCAGACATCGGCAACTTCAAAAACCCTAACGTCGACGACGCAGAGTCACCGAGGCCGAACTCCGGCGACGGACAGCAAATCAACTGTCGTTTGCCGGCCGAAATCATCGAGAGACGAAAATGATGACAGAAGAAGTGAGACGTTCTCAATGGACAGTTACAGCTGGTTTTGTGTGTGCTTACATGGTGGTTGGGATTAACAAAACTGCTACTGTTGAAACCAGTGCGAATCGTTTGCAGGAGGTATGTAATCATGCTCAGAGAAAGTGAGGTGCCGAGAGGGAGAAGGAGGGTTGAATTGGTTGAGATCCGGCGGGCGGTCAAGGCAAGGTCGCCGCCCGCCGGAAGGCGAAGAACACCAAGATCTTTAACCTTGCTCTGATACCATGTAAGAATTTATGTATTATTGATTGATTTATGTTGTTGTCTTATTGATATTACAAGGATTCCTATTATATAGGAGAGGATTTGGGTAGTAGGTTTAGTGGAGTGGGTGGTTTGAATTGATTTAAAATCACAAATGTCACTATGAATTAATTCAAGTGGTTCCGTACTTCTTTCAATTAAATGAAATGGAGTTTTAGATAATTTTGCCTCAACGCAAATTTCACATTTATGATTTGAATCATTGTCAAATTTAGGTAAACATTCCATATTAATTAATCTATGCAAAGGTCCATAATTAACATATCTTAGTTTACCATGCCATAAATTTGAAGACTCAAGCAAGTAAGAAGAATATGTATTTTTATTAATAACTGAGGGTACAACGGCCATTACATTTAACTTGAAAAGGCCATCAGACATGTAACCTTGTCCTACATACATCCCATTCTTAGTAAGTACACATTTATCACTCTCAAATGCTAGCCTAAACCCATTCTTAATCAACAAAGATCCGGAAACAAGATTCTTGCGAATGTCCGATACATGCAGCATATTGTTGAGAGTGAGTTCTTTTCCAGATGTCATCTTCAAAACAATCTTCCCTTGTCCTTCAACTTTGGAAATTGAGGAGTTTCCCATAAAAAGTTGTTCATCATTGTCCACTGTAGAATAAGATGTGAACATCTTTTTATCGGCACAGATATGGCGAGTAGCACCAGTGTCCACCCACCATTCTTTAGAATTTTCGACAAAATTTGCCACGGAAATAACTGCAGAAAGATTGATGTCATCTACACCGTTGGAAATATTGTCCACATCGGTTATATGGGCTTGAGCAGGTTTCTTGCTTGTTCTTATTTTGTTTTTGCCTTTGCTACGGCAATCTTTGGCCCGATGTCCCTCTTTGTCACAGATGTAACATTTGCCATTAAACTTGTACTTTTTATTTTCCCTCCTTTTAGAGTCTTGTGATGAACTTTCTCCAGAAGACTTTCGTTTCTTGGTTTTCAAAGCATGTTCCACCACATTTGCCTTAGACTCCATTGGATGCTTACCAGCCTGCTTTTCAGAATTACAGTTGTCCTCCTCAATCCTCAAACGCACAATTAATTCTTCCATAGACATTTCTTTGCACTTGTGTTTGAGGTAGATTTTGAATTCCTTCCAACCTGGTGGTAATTTTTTAATTAAGGCTGCAACTTGGAAAGATTCACTGAGAGACATGCCTTCTGCGTGAATGTCATGCAGAATGAGTTGGAGATCTTGAACTTGGCTGATCACAGTTTTTGAATCAACCATTACAAAATCCAGGAATTTGCCAACCACAAACTTCTTTGAGCCGGCATCTTCCGTTTTGTATTTTTTCTCCAAAGACTCCCAAAGTTCCTTTGCTGTCTTAATAGGACTGTAGACGTTGTATAATGTGTTGTCAAGTCCGTTCAAGATGTAGTTCGGGCAAAGGAAATCAACATGTTTCCAAGTATCGACCGCAGCAACCACTTGCCGATCGGTTTCATTTTCTTTCAAAATAGGAGCATCCTCACGGAGGAAACGAGCCAGGTTCAGAGTTGTGAGATAGAACAACATTTTCTGTTGCCATCTTTTAAAATCAGTTCCTGGGAACTTCTTTGGCTTTTCACCGTGATTTACCGGTATTGTCCCAACATGAGAGGGGGTTGGCGTCATTGCAGCCACCACAGTAGTACTTGTTTGAGCATTTGTTTCAGTAGCCATCGAATTTATACTACACAGAAAATTAATCCAAATTCATAGAATTAAATTCTGTAAAAATAAAAGAAACAAGAATGTAACTTTTATTTTTCAATTAATTTGGAAATAAAATAAAATTTTATTTAACCAAATTAATTCCACACAGAAAATTAAATTTCTGTAACACTTCAATAATTAAAATACTGAAACAGAATTTTAATTAAAGAAAACTCAGAAAATAATTTCTAAAAACCAAAATTAGTTTTCTGACAAAATTCACAAAAATATATTCTGAATTGTTAATGACACCAGTATCGTACTACTAGTTGTTGTCAAAGAAAAGAGACAGTATATTACTACTATCTGTCAAATAGCATATAATCACTATTTGTTTTTCCAACCAGAATATTATTTTGTAAATTCACAGAAAATAAACTATTTGTTTTTCCAACCAGAATATTGTTTTGTAAATCCACAGAAAATAATTTTCTTAAAAGAAGAAAGAGAAAAGGAAACAAACGAAAAATTCTGTAAACAGAATAATTCAAATCTGTCTTAAGATTGATGGAACAATCTTCTATGTAAATAAAATAAATTGAAACTAATTCAAACAAAATAAATAAATAACGTACCGAATTTATTTATTGAACTGAATTAAAAATAAAAGACCAAGTCGAGTGTGTGACAATCTGTTCTTAAGACAGATTTGCCCCGCTACGGTGTTCACGGTTGAGTGGCGTCTATCTCCCAGGATACAATGATCTTCACAAACTTGTAGTAGCACTCCACACAAATTTGTACGGCGAACTAGAACCTTGTGTTCTTATACTCTCTTTAATTTATCTCTAAAACTAGAATGAAGATTAAAATGCAAAGGAGAAAATTCTGGACAACAATATGAAAATTGCAGACTGATTTTTTTAGATCACAAAACACTGCTGGAATGTTGGTATTTATAGGCAGCACAAGTGCTGTCCGAACAGGTATAAAATTCAAATGAACATGTGTGGTTTGAATCCAACAGGTGCTGTTTTGAAAACAAACAGATATGTTGCCAGGTTTTGAATCTGTTCGGAAGTACCAGATCTGTAACTGCTGGGCAGTTAAAACCGAACTTGCTGGGCAATTTTTCAGTTTGAATCTGAGAAGAATTTCGGACAGAAGGAGACTTAAATGTTGGACAAAAATTGGAATTCAAATTTGAATTAAATTCCTGCAATGTTTTTTGAAAAAATTCAAATGAATTTTGTTCAAAAAATTAATATAATAACCGACCCGACCCACAATCGCGCACGGCACGGCTGGCGGCGGCGCGCGCGTGGTGGTTTGGGCTAAGGTTCACTTTGTCCATAACTCCTCCATTCTACAAACTTGGGGTGCCCCTTGAGACCCAACCTAAGTATTGTAGGCTACAGCTTATATACTCAACAAAACTCTCTTAAAATTTCAATGTGGTACAAGCCTCACAAGGAAACCCATATTAAAAAAACTTTAAATGTCCATTCCACGAACTCGAAAACGATGTCATGTTTCCATTCACTCATAAATGGTTTTGACGAACCGTCTTCACCGTGTGACTTATCACACGACAAGAAACGCTTCACCTCTTCAGACCCGTCTCAAAAGACGTTCGGGCCCACTCAATTTTGAGCTCAAAGTTAACCTAAAATAAGCCTAATAAACCAATTTTCCAACATAAGAAACCAAATCATGACTGGTGGTTTTCACCAACACAAAATCCATTTAATTCTGATCATTCTCCACCAACTTTCACTGTTACAATACCCAATTCTCTTGCCTCATGATCATCACAACTCAAAACTCACACATACACACAGTCACGCACACATGCATCCATACAATAATAAAACAGAAATAAGCAGCAAATGGTTTCCCAAATTCTACAATCATGGGTGTTTTCTATTCCACTCCTAAATAGCTAAAAAAATAAAGAGAGAAGGAAAACAAGTTGATAAAATCAAATTAATCAACAGTGCCTAGAATTGGAGTCCAGAACAGAAACAAAGACATGGGTATTGAAAAGCGAGAAGAATTAGAAGAACCCATTAAACCCAATTGGGAAGTGAAGGAGGGAAAGCAATCGGAATTACCAGAAAGCAGTATAGCTATAGAACTCAACATCCAAACACATGAAGAGGAGAGAAGCGATCGAGAAGATGGCTTGACCCAATCGAAGAGCCAAGCTGGCACTCGTCCCCAAAGCCCCTGGCAGTTCATCCATCTCGCATGCGAGCCTTGCTGTCGATCTTCTTCTTCTTCTGGTTGTCGTGAAATTCTTCGACCCAACTCGCAAAAGCTCGTCATAGCAATTCAGTTGTCTGAATCGGCCATGCCACGTTGCTCATCTGAACTCGATTGGAAAAGAGAATTGAATTTGCCTTGATTTGATTTATTTTATGGGGATTTGAAATCGGCTGATTGAAATTTTAGTAACTGACTTTTTTTTTGTTTTTTTTTGCCAGAATTGGTGATTGGTTGGGAAAATGTTTGTGACTAAAAAACGGATAAATATTAGTTTTTTTTAAGAGAATTTAACCCTTTTTTTTATAATACAATTATTATATTTTAAAAATATTAATTTTTTAAAATTACCTTTTAATAGTACTTTTTTTTTTGAAATATCAATTGTCATAATTGTATATTTTGTGTTGTTAATAAATTTAAAAGAAAGCCAAAATAAGAAATTCATATTATTTTAGTTTTTGATTTTTGAAAAGAGACTAATATTTTGGGACAATAAAAAATAGAATAAAAGACTAATATTTTGAAACGGAGAATATATAAGATCTGTTGTTATCCCACTTAGACATTGACAATTCCCATGTAACAAAAAGTAAGCATATGTTTGAGTAGGGACGAAATTAAGATTTCATTATTAGAGTGGTCCAAAGAAAATTATTTTTTTTTTTATCAATACACAAATATGCTAAGCATTAAAAAATTAATTATAATATTTTTTAATATAATTTTGTAATTAATTTTGAAGATTCTTTAATTTCCTTTTTCTTTTTTTACTAATAATGATTCAACTTCTTCCACTGTTTGGTGGGGGAAATTGGAAATTGTAGGTCCGTGGAGAATCTAATTCTACGTGCCGGCTGTGTGCTTCTAATGGCACCGTGTCATCGCAAAATTTGTAGATTATTTAGAGCCTGTTTGGGAAGGAAGTTACGGGCTAAATTAGTCACTACAGGACGAAATTGGCTAAATTAGCCACTGCAGGACAAAAAGGCTTCAGGATTGCCACCAAGGATCCTCTAGAGTATTTTTTTCCTAAAGTTTCCTAAAGTGGTGTATTGTGTGGTTGAGATTTAATGTTGAAAAATTGATGTGACTTGTCATTAAATCTCAACCACACAATGCACCACTGTAGGAAACTTTAGGAAAAAAAAAAACTCTAGAGGATCCTTGCTCTCAGGATTGCATCTTACATACAAGGAGGCATGAAATTACCAAATTATCCCTGGGTCTTTGTTCACACTATCCCGTTCTCGGGGGAAAAAAAAAAAAAAGAACATTTGCTACGTCATGTGTACAAAATCGTGAACTGAGCCACGTAAAAAAATAAAGTTAACAATTAATGTATACAAAAAAAAATTTACCAAATTAATGTACCAAAAAAAATTTACGCGACAAATTAATTTACCAAAAAAATTAATTTAACAAAAAAAATTTACCAAAAATTTACCAAAAATCTTTTTTTACATTTGCCACGTAAAAAAAAAAAAGAACATTTACCAAATTAATATATACAATTTTTTTTGACAAAACCGTAAATTAAAAAAAAAGAACGACAAAAATACGGCTCATCCAAAAAATAAAAAATAAATTTTAAAAAACAAAAATGAGCATTTTCCACGTAATTTACAAATACATAAAACACATGAAACCCCATTTTTGAAATATAAACACAAATTAATGTATACAAAAAAATAAAATGACAAAAACGTAAATTAAAAAAAAAGAACGACCAAAATACGGCTCATCCAAACAAAAACAAAAATAAAAAACATAACAACAGAAATTAGCATTTGCCACGTAATTTATAAAAAATAAAACACACGAAAATCCATTTGTCAAATATAAAACCAAATTAATGTATACAAAAAAAAAAATTACAAAAACGTAAATTAAAAAAAAAACGACAAAAATGCGCCTCATTCAAAAAAAAAAAAAAAAAAAACTAAGACATAGTTAAAAATAAAAATCCAAGACAAAAAAAAAAACATAGTTCAAAAAAAACATAGGTATAGTAAAAAAAAAAAAAAATTAAAAAGACAAAAACATAAATTCCCAAATAAAAATCGAAAAATTTAAGCACAATACCCCAAATCCAAACCCAAAATGAAAAAAAGTAACAGGAAAAAAAATTAAGCAAAATATGAAAAATCCAAGCGCAAAATAAAAAAATTTCAAACAAAAAAAAAAGTTAACGCAAAATCCGTCAAACTACAAAAAAAAAAATAAATAAAAAAGACAAAATTTGGATTTGCAAAATTCGGGAGATCGAAACACAACATAAAAAAATTGTCAACGAAAAAACATAAAGCAAAAAATGCCAAAGCGAAACCCCCCCCCTTTTGTTATCAAAAAAAAAAAAAAAAATAAATTTAAACAAAAATCCAAAATTGAAAAAAAAATACCAAAAAAAAAACAAAAATTTTTTTTCCCAACAAAAAGCCAAAATTATAAAAAAAAAAAAAAAAACGAAAATATGCCAAATTCAAACCCAAATAAAAAAATAAAAAAAATGGAAAAGGGCAATTTCGTCATTTAACAAGATGACACCTCACCAAAAAGCTAAAAAGCCAAAAAAGCCAAAAAGCCTTTCCCAAACCAGGCTTTTTAGCCCCAGGCTAAAATAACCAAAAAAGCCAAAAAGCCAAAAAGCCAACCCACTTCCCAAACGGAGGCTTAGTAATTTTAAAATAATACACTACATTATTTACATTATGTGACTTTGTTATATTCTATCTTATTTCTCAAAAATTATCTAACATATACATTCTTAAAAAATGTATATTATATGCACCTCTAATTAACTGTTTTTTTTTATTGAGGGATTTGGTAATAGATCCCTCACCGTCTAATTTGTCTTTTTAAAGGACAAGAACTATATAGATCTTTTCAAAACTCACTAATATTTTAAACCTTGTTTATTTTACTAAACTACCCTCATATATATATATATATATATATATGTATCAACTCTCCTGTAAAGTCATCTTCACAGTGAATTTCAGAGTAAAATTTTACTCTGAATCATAGATGGATTACGAAATCAAAAGGACAAATTTGAATAACAAAATTGGAATGCACATTTAATTAAAAATATTGAATAATTAACTTACAATAGCAGCAAAATCACAATGGCAGGAACTACAAGCAGCACTCTTGAATTTTTCAGAATATATGTTTCTAAAATTTTTTCAGTCTGCCGAATGAGTTCAACTTGATTACATTAAATACAAAAACAAGGAAAAGAAAAGCAGCATTTGACTGATGAAAGCAGCTGGCAGCGCATGGGGCAAAGCAGATGCTGTCGGTTGCTTTCGGCTGATTGATTGAATAGTTGAGTATCTTTAAACAAAAGTTGACTGGGTGAGTAGTGACGGTGAACAGTAAAAGTGAACAGTAACTTTTACTATTCATTACTTTCGGTGGAACATGTGAATAATGGAATCAATATAAATACAAATTGGCAGCTTTTCTCAAAAGAGTATTGACTGAAGCTAATTTGCATCTATATGGAATCCAATGTTGATTATGCAAACGGATCCTGGGCATCTTGAAACTCTGGTCCTGAACATTGATTAGTTGATTCTTCAGAGGAGTGGGCATGTTTTGAACCTTCTTCTGAACTGTCTGAATCGGTGGATTGGGTTTTAGCTTGATTCAAAAGTTGGTGGGCTAACTGGATCATATCTTCTTTGGATGACTTGGATTTATTCTTGGTCTTGACTTTGGGCTGACCAGGAGGTGAAATGGGCTTTGCCTTTACTTTGGACTTTGATTTGGGCTTTGATTGGGCTGGCTGGGCAGCAACAGCCTTGGACTTTGATTTGAATGATTTGGGCTTGGAACCACTGGATGAGGGGCTTCCAAGGTTGACTGGAGGGAGACTAGGCTGACTTCCTTGAGTAATTGCAGCAGTTGGGTTCTGCTGGGCTTTAGCAAGAGCAGGAGTTGGAGCATATTGATCAGGTGAGAATTCCTCTTGAACAATTTCAAGAATTCTGGGCACATTGAACTTAACCCACCATTTGACTGTGTGTTGGCGAATGATGATGTTATCATCAATCCCATAGTGCCATTTGAATATCCATGAAATTTTGTATTTGGAAATAAAAATTAGCAATAATGGAAATTGTCGTTGGTGAGTAGTGAATGGGTAAACAGTGGCAAAATAATTAATTACTTCACTGAGATCAACGGGGAGGATATCTGAAATGGCTCCATAGTGAGTCCACCATCTCAGAAACCAGGTAGGAATTTTAGATTTGAACTTTTGATCAAATGATATGAACCAAGAATGACTGAAATTTTCATTTTGGTATATGAAAATCTTGAACCAGGCATCAATGTAATCATGGCAATTATATTGAATGGAATGACCAGGTAAGTCACGAAGCTGATTAGGATTTCCCCATTCAGCCATGGAAACAATGTTGTGAATATAAATTGAATGATATAGGATCTTGTAAGCATAAGTTCGATCCTGGATTGGTTTGATCAAAATTGAATGGTGATGGAGTAGAATGTCTTTGTAATAGGAGAGGGTTTTCTCTGGATGGGAAATGATGAAATGGCATCCAGAGCCAAAATGGAATTTAGCAATTTCGTTGATGGTTTGATTTTTTGGGTGACTGGGTTCTTTGTAGAACAGGTTAGTAACATGTGAATTGGTGTACTCAGATCGGGATGGTTTAATGGGGTTAACTGGGAATGGAGTAACTGAAATTGAGTGGCTAGATGCAAAGGGATTGGAAGCCAATGCAGATGAGTAATCAGGACGATAGATGTTACCAAGAGTTTGGTAACGGTTAACCATTTCAAGTGAATGAGATTGGGTGATGGACTCTAAAGGAGGAGGGACAATAAGTTGATTAGGTTTCCTGGAAGATGGGACCAAAGCCTTGGAGGGAGGCCTTGGACGAGACATCTGTTGAGAAAGAAACAATGGTTAGCAACCAGAAAGAAGATCTAAATAATCTTGATGACGATGTAAACAGTTGTAGTTGTGAGCAAGTAAATTGCGACGGGCTTGAATCTGATGGTAATTGATATATTGGGTTCTTTTGGTGGGTGGTCTGGCTAGTTTGAGGCGGTGAATACGATAGGTAAGTTGTCTAATTTGAGTTTTGAAATAGGTAATTCGGGATTTATGGTAAGAAGTAAATGGTGCAGTCATCCCTTACCCTCCTGTAAAAATTCCCGGGTAAAAAAATCAGGTAGGGAATTTTGACAACC